GTGCGGAAGCGTCCGTATCGTTGGTGACGGTCGCGCTTGCCTTCTGTACTCTCTACCATACGTCCGTATCACAAGCGTCCCGAGAGGGCGGGTCTGGCGGATCGTTGGTGATGACCTCGCTTACCTTCTGACGGGGCTCGGATACGAAGGGGATGGCGCAGACTTGCTGGTCGTCGAATTTGTGCTGAAGAGATTGGCAAAGCCAATCAGGAGCCCGCAACCTTTCCGCTTTGCTTGGTTATCCTAATATGTTCATGAGTGTCTTGACTGGAAATACTTCGCGTGAACTTCAAGGTGGCAATGCTCATCAGCGTGCGAGTGCTGACCATCAATTTCTCTCTTTGTGATTTGTGTCACGCGGACGTGTTCGAGGTGAACTACTCCAGTACAACACACGGCATGCGGGGGATGTGAGATGTGGAACTTACCAAGGTGGCGCACCCACTGTTGCAAGCTAGCACCGCAACGCCAAGCAAGTCGCGGTGCCGCCGCCACCACGCCATCACACAGCGTACTCCACCTCCCCGTAGTGCCTGGAACACGCCGTACCAACAAAACGACGGGTCGCCATTGCGGAACCTGGCGACGACCCGACCCATGCACGGGCACGACCCCCCCGAAGACACTCCGTGCCACGAAGTGCTGCCTTCCACAGAAAGCGGAGATCCGCCCTGGTGGATCCATGCACTGCGCCTGTTCACCCCGTGGTACGGTCCTACGTTCGTCTAGGCGGTGGCGCCAAGGTGGCGACACGTATAAAACATCGCATGCTGGGGAGCAAGGTGAGGCGGAAGCGGAGGCCAAACATTCAGACGGGCGCGCAAACAGTGCGGTCGGAATCGCCCCACCACCAAAGGTCGAGGCGAGCATGCAGAGGAGGGGAGGGTGAGGAGTCTGGAGATGGGAGAGGAGGATATGGAGGATGCCATGGGCAAGGGTGGTAAAGGGGATGGGGATGAGGATGAGCGGGACGAAACAGGCACATCGCACGGGAAGGGAAGAGGAGGGTGATGAGTAGAAGCAGGCGGGGAAGAGAGAAAGTCGAGGAGGGGAGAATGAGGATAAGGTGTGGCTAGGAAACAAAGGGACGCGAGAGGTTGTTGTTCATAGGGTTGGTTGTGGGGAAGTAGGCCGAGGCAGAGAACAGTCATGAAAAGGAGCAGGGCAGCATTTAAGCATGAGGAAGAGGAGGAGGAGGAGACCTAGGAGGACGGGGACGAGACCAAGGAGAGTGTGATTGAGGAGAGGCAGGTGGGCAATTGAGGACAGGAAGGTGGGCACAGGAGTAAAGCATGAATGCGAAAGCAAGGCCCCATTTTGGAGTAGGACGGGCAAGTGATGTGATTCACGACTGGTGGGGTACAAGGAGGAGGGGTGGTGGAAAACAACCAGAGAAGGAGGGACGGCTTGGGAGGCCACGCCCAGGAGGACGAATCAAAACACATGGAGGCGCGTCTCCAATCGAACGTCTGCAACCGACACGGAAATCCGTCTGGGTCGTTCCATAGTGGCCTGGCAATCTGCCCACCAGCATACAAATCACAGCATAGTCACTAGGCCGATGCGCCCATCATAAGGAGTAAGACGGTGTTTCTATGGTTGCGCTGCCCGCATGCTGTGTTGACACCGACCGCTGACATGGTGGGCGTGACAACCCACGTTCTGACGATCGCGTCTGTGCGTGAGTGATGTGCTGCAGCGTGCAGAACACGCATTCAATGTTTTGACCACGTGGAGGTTTCTCCCTTCAACGCAGGATGTAACGAGGCGCGACATTAGTCGTCCAGCGTGAACGCTATGTGGAAATGACCCCCCTTGGCGCCCCGACCCCCACTTCTCCACAGGAGAGCGCACGTATCAGCCCGCATGCTGTGAGCAAAGTCCCAGGACTACAAGCACATTCCGAAAAGCTCGGGGTGCAGGCGACCTGGCAGCCAGCAGTGATACCACTTGCGGGAAATGCACACCACAAATGAAAGCCGACGTGAATTCACATACCCCCGACGCCATGCTGTCTTGCGTACACGCCGGTCGGAAGAGGTATGTAAACAAAAAAACATGAAGTAGGAAGGCGGATAAAGTGGATTGGGTCCAGGCCCTCCCAGAGAATAACAAAACACAGCAAAAAACGCATCGATTCTTGAAGTAGGAAGGCGCTTGAAGTATACTAGGATCTGGTAATCCAAAAATACATACTTTCAGCGACCAGCGTGCACAGTGAACCACAGAACCGAACCACGAACCACCGAACCGAACCGACCGATGGAGAACCGACGGAGCCGGAACCCGTCAGAAACCCGACGTGAACCGAAACCAAATCCAACCGGAGGCGGTGAAAACGACCCGGGCCCGAACCGGGAACCGAATCGGGAAACGGTCGTGGAGGTGGACCCTTGGGAACTGCCCGATGCGAGGGCCCACTCTTGCGCTAGGTCCATCCCGCCCGCTCCCAACTCCTCCCCTGCGCCCCCGAGTTCCCTCGTCCTGTTTTACTGCTTGTTGCTTGTCCAGGGCCGAATTGGGGACGGGAGGGCGGCGGAAAAGCTCAAATCGCATTTTTGGACGGTTCGACAATGCGCTTTGGGCCGCCAGGTGGTTTTCGGAACCCCCTTAAGGCTGCTCTGCGGATGGCAGGGCGGTGGAAAAGCTCAAATCGCATTTTTGGATGGTTCCAAAATGCGTTTTGGGCCTCCAGGTGGTTTTCGGAGCCTCCAGGGCTGCGCTGGGGACGGAAGGGCGGTGGAAAAGCTCAAATCGCATGTTTGCGCGGTTCGAAAATGCGCTTTGGGCTTCCAGGGGCCCTCGGGGCCTCCAGGGCCGAACTGGGGACGGCGGCCGGGGCTGGGCCCCCACCATCCTGCGCGCGCGGCGCCCTTGCCTTCCCAGTTGCCCTTTGGGATGACCCATGCCAGGAGTGAGTGTTCCGTACTGTCCCATTCCGTAGTCCGAGCGTTTTCTATCCTGGCGCTGAGGAATCGCCCGCTGTCGCCAGAGCCCCCTGGTCCAGGTGGCAGGATGCTGTCGACTGGTCCGTCGAGGTCACCATGCGTAACGTCTGGGCCCAGTGGCTCCCCTGGCTCGTCGGGCAGCTGGGCCCAGTGGCTCCCCTGGCCCCAAGGTTCCTCCTGACACCTGGTTGAGCTGAACCTCCAAACGCCTCCATATGATGATGTAGACGCACACGCGCACACGTCATCTGCAAGAACCGAGAACCGAAATGGAACCGGCTGAAACGGAACCGCCCTCTGAATGGGAACCGCTTCAAACAGCTCCGAAACCTGAACCGTACTGAACCGAACCAATTTCCCCCGAACCGAAACGATCCGAACGGAACCGGGGAAACGCTGCGTGTCACGTGGGGCCCAAGAAGCTGGACCCCTCCCTGGGGATCGGTGCTTCATCCCGAGTCGTGCTTTGACGGTCCCGGGGCCCGGCAAGGACCCCCCGAGCTCATAAATAGGAACACTAACTCTGGTTGTGTGCTCTTCCATGACGCGGGGGTCTGGAACTGTGGCCATCCCCCCTCCCCGCCCACCCCACCGGGGAAATGCCAGCCACTCCTCTCTCCCGCCGGGCGCCCACCCGAACGCGTCGGCGGGTTCGCGCGGCAATGCAACGCTATGCACTGCGACCGCAGTGTGGTCCCCACGGCTACGGTGCAAAGCCAGCTCGCATGTGCAAGGAGGGGATGTATCCAGAACCACCGCCTGGGGATTGATTTTCCCGAGCCTCGGCAGGCGGTGGACATGGGTGATATCGGGGCCTGGGGTCGCCAATCAAATCCACATCCGCAGCCTGGCGAAGCCCCCGAATACCGATCTCCCAGGCAGTGGTCAATTATGGATAAATCCACGCCTCGACGCATGGCCGCCACACTCCTGAAGGAATCATCACCTTTTCTTCTTCCTCGGCGGCGAGTCGCGCGGCATCCTCGCGGCATCCTCGCGGCCTTTCCGCGCCGCCGGAGATCCGGGCTCTCGTCGGTCCCACGGATATCTCAGAAAGACAATGACCGGGTTAGTGGGGATGGGGCTGGGAGACATGATCAGGTCATCCGAATTATCGCGTTTGTGGAATGGGCAGATTACACAGACGCGCCCTGTATCTTCCCAACCCCTTCCACCCAACACGACAACTGTCTTTCTGTATATCTCGACCCCACACTCTGGGACGTTTTGTGTTTCATCCCGCGTAGTTTTCTCACGGTGCTGTGGTCCGAAGCGGGCCAATCGAGGCCCAAACTGAAAAACAAATCGATGACGTCCTGATTGTCGTGACGAGACATGCTTGGGTTGGGCGTCGCGTCATGGGGGGTGCGATACAGCGGGCAGAAGAGGGGTGCACCTGTCGGGCCCTGCATGCCCCCGCTTGGGCCCTGTGATCCTCAGTGATCCTGCAGGGCCCCTTCTCTGCAGCGCCCGCTGCCCTCCCCCCCGTGCATTGCCCCCCCCCCCCCCCCCACCCCACCACGCGACGCCCAATTGGGGGGGTCTGGGCTCCCGCCGGCCACGCGCAAGAATGACCCCACGCAGTATGGGCCTTCGTGCACGGCTTGCCGATCGCTGCGCGCGGTGCGGCAGCAGCGGCCTGCACGCGCTTGGGCTTGACCCTCCGGCGGCCCCCGAGAGCGGCGCAGCAGAGGTCGCTCCAGCGAAGGGCCATCCGGCTTCCGGGCCGTAGCTCGGGTCTCCCGCTGCCTTTCGGGGCTTTGCGGGCACCCGCGGGACGCCCTCGGCGAGGCGCAGCTGCTGAAGCGCATCCCGAGGAAATCGGCTTCTACATCGCGCCGCATCGCCGACGAATCGGCAGTGCGGCGCGGTACACCCCATCTGCTCGGACCCCACCTGGCACTCTCAGTTGTAGCCGATCTCACCGCGCTGTGTTGCCTTGGTCCCGGCCAGCGCTGCACAAAAACCGCGCGACCAGGCTCGGCCGCGGGCCCCGCGCGCGCGCGCCGAGCGCCCCCACGGCCGGGCTGGGTGGCTCGGCGCAGGGCCGGGTCAGTCTGACGAGTTGAGCTCGATGACGACTGTGCCGACGATCCTGCCCTCGCCGTGAAGAAAACGGAGCACATGACGGCGCTCGGGCTCGATGGGAGCTGAGGGGGCCAGAGCGGCGGCTCGCAAGACCTCACCGCCCGAGCAAATGCCTTGCGGAGTGCTCGGTGTGACTGGGGATGCCAGCAGGTACCGATACCGCCACTCCGCGGACCTCTCCTGGGGTGCGTTCTGACCAGAATTTCGAGGACCCCCGACGACAGGTGCCCACCTGAAGTACAGCCAGCACGAGAACTCCCGGGGGCAGCGGGTCCGGGTGTGGTGTGCCGCCGGTGTCGGGCTCCTGGAGCCCCCACTTGGGGAGAAGAGTGGCTTAGCAAGCTTTATATCACTTGCTAAGTTTTAGCGGTGTTGTTAAGGAGTTGTGAGTTGCATAGCTAACACTTAACACATGGTTACTAAGTGAACTGATGGGGGCACTTTAGTTGCTTACTAACTCTCTTACTAACCAATGTTAAGATGGTTAGCTAACCCTCGCTATAAGTTAGCCCCCCGAGCTAAAGCAGTTAGCTAACCCTCGACATGAGTTAGCTAACCCTCGCTAAAGGTTTACCTGGCCATACAACTACAGGTCTAGCATGAGGCCAATCACGAACGCGAGCGTTTGCTAAGGGCACTTCTAGAGCAACACAGTCATTAAAAATGAGCTACATAACAGTAGAATTTGGATGGTGCATCGCTGTAGGTGCCAGAGTTTCGCAGCACTGCAGTCGCATATTACACAGCCGCCGCGGATTACCACTATAGTTGGCGCATGTTTTTTATTCCCTCGTCCCCTGCATCACGGCACAGTCGAAAACGTTGAGGCTATTTTGCGAGGGACAAGGTGTGCAACGCAGTGGTAATGCCACCGCTTTCCCTGCAAATGAGAACCTCCAAAAAATCATCGAGCGATGTAAGAAACGCATCGCCATGCTCTTGCCAACAACTGGACCACACATCTTGTGAAATGCGAGCGTATGGCTGCACCGCCCCGAAGCAGACACCCGCACTGCTAGCCAAGAAGATGACCCTCACCAATGACCATGCATTGAGCCCTTCACGCAAGGCTACAAAATCGCCAATGAAGCAAACGTCGTACTTGTTAAACCTAGCCCTCGACGAAGACTTGTGTTCTACCTGGCCGAGGGTTGCGTCCAGAAAGCCAGCAAGTTTTTTGCTGGCCATGGTCGCCCCAAGGAGGCGAGCGGAAAGGTCAAGCCAATCTGCATGGCTAAAGCGGTGGAAACTCTCGGACAAAACCTCCCTTATGACAGGGCTTGTGTCCTCCGTGAAATCTTCAGCATATTTGAGCACAGTCTTGTGCTTGCGCTCTACGGTGAGCGTGTGCGGGCAGAATCCGTACCGATCGATGTACTCCGAATGGTGGAGCATCCCGTGGAACTTCCAAAGGATATCGGACGTGCCGAACGCGGCAGTCCAATTCTTTGCAAAATGAGAGGTTGCTGCTTCAAGCACGTCACTCGTCAAGCCAACCTTGTGGCCATGAAAAAGCATATGAATCACAACCGACAAAGACACGAAAGCAGTGCAGGCTGGCACGTGAAGACCTCTTGCCATGACCTCGGTCCTGCAATAGTGGGCGAGCACGCTGTGAGCAGATAGAGCTTCGGACGCCGAGCACTTGAAGCACTCGGCCTCCCAGCTCGTCTTTGCCCTCTTCTTGCAGAACATTTCCTGACCTGTCACCCCCTTGGAGCTGAGCCTCCTGGGGAACACGAAGCTCTCGAAGTACGAATGGATGTGTGCTGCAGTGATGTTCGAGGTCCTCAACTCCTTCATCAGCTTGAACGTTGTCTGCTGGAAGAGCCCCTGTAAAATATTGTGGGCCCAATCGTAGGTGTTCTGGCGCGCTGGGTCCAGTAGCGGTCGCAGAACTCGGTCGTTGAGCATGTTGTGGCGAGAGTGGGTCCATCCATAGAGCCTCTCCCTCTCGGCCAGCGTGCCCTTGTTCACCACCCCTGCATCTGCAGCGAGCCGATCAATCATGGCGACGATGGTCTCCTTGGTGTGCGGGACACACTCACGCAAAGAACGGACCTGCGTGTAGTCCTTGAACATAGAGCCTTCCATGAAATCAGCACCCACCCACCCCTTGTTAACCACGTTTGCGCAGTGAAGACATGGCTTGACACCTGAGGACCCTTTGCTCATCCACATGGAATGCAATCCTGATTCATCACCCAGAAGGCACGAAATCTTCGCATGAATTCTCAAGCTTCTGCCTGAAGGTAGATCCAGCGTGATCCCCGCAAGCCTCAGGTCGTGGCCATCGTGTGACGTCAGCCTCAGCAGTGCCCCCATCAGCTGGGCCATGCCACCCTCGCACTGGCTGATGTCCAGTGCCCGAGCACTTGCCAAGCATAGCCACATATCCTCTTTGCACAGCACCCACGGTCCAAAATCGAGGACGCTGAAGTATACGTTCTGCACCGCCCTCTTGTTCAACTGCTTGAGCTTGTTGCCTGGTTTGCACTCGTCGCTATAGAACACGAGCCCCCACGGCCTAGAAACAGAGCATGGCGACCGCGAATACGTTTCCTCCAAGATGTCTGCAAATCTCTGGCACTTGGCCGCAGCGTACAAGTACGCCAGAGGATTCACAACCTCGGGGGTGAACCTCCTGCCATCTTTCATCTCCAGGTCCGCTCGCACAATGGTGGGCCCATACGGCGTGAGCTGTAGAGCGTCCATGTCTCGAGCGGCTCGGACATCTCTGGTACTTGATATGTATGGTAACTCGTCCCGTCTGGATTTGGAACAGAACGCTGCTAGGGCTCGCTTACTGACGTGAGGCAACTCATGCCTGATGCTGTTCAAGCGCTGCAACTTTTGAGCACGCTCCATGGCTACGGACATGTTTGACATACTGGGTCGGGCCGCCTCGGAAAGGAGACCCAACCTTTGGCATCCCGAAACTTTCTCGGGAGCCGTCCTGAGCCGCCTATGGGGCCGTCCTGGGCCCTCGGGGGTCTTCCTGAGCCGTCTATGGGGGGTGCGTCATGGTGACTCTTTTGGGGCCGTCCTGGGCCGTCTGTGGATATCTCAAGTACGGGCTCATGGCGTCGACGTTTGCCGCGTTGTATTGCGATGTGTGCGTGGGCCCCAAGCAGTGAGTTAGGTGCTGTCTATGTGGCGCAATGCAATGCAAGACAATGCGAAGCAGACCATTCCAGTACAATATGTTGTGGTTGGTGCTGTTATTGTTGTTGGTGTTGTTGTTGTTGCTGCTGTTGCTGTTGCTGTTGCTGTTGTTGTTGTTGTTGTTGTTGTTGTTGTTGTTGCTGTTGGTGTCGTTGTTTTTGCTTGCGCATTGATGTCGGGTACGATCGCCAATCAGTCGTGCAACAGGACTCCCCAAGTCCCAGCGCTGGGAGGCAGACGCGCTGAGCATTACACTTGTCACGCACGACAGCGGCGGCTGACACATGGAAACAGCGAAGCATGCACCTGCGATGACAGCTCGGCCAACACGAACCCACCTCTTGAACCCCTTATTCACTCATGACTGAAGCCAAGCTGACACTAAATATAAGCATGCTAACCCAAAAGCTGGATATCCAAAGCAGCGTGCCCTGAACTGCATAGTCTACGAACTTACTTAGATGCGAGTTTAATTAAATTGCATGCCTGCTTGAACGACTCACGCTTGGAGCTGCCAAATGGGACGCTCCTCTCGCGGGCAGGAACCGACCTATCAGGCCAGACCCTCCAGGACTGCCTCGTGTCTGAAGGCAGCACCTTGCCGTCCAAGTAGTTTACACTTCCGTTGGTCGGCATTGGCGGGTACTTGTCAGATGCACGCAGCACAGCACCTGGCGGCTTGAAGGCTGCAGGCCTCTTGTTCACAGAACCGCCAGCGGCGGTCCTGGGCCTCTTCTTGCCACCAGGGGCGGCAGCAGCCTCCTTCGCAGCGTCCTCCTTAGCAGCTGCAGCAGCAGCCGCCGCTTTGGCGAGCACTGCTGCATGATCTGCCTCCATCTTGTCGAGAGACGGGGCCGCGCCGCCAAGGAACCCAGCTGGTTTGGGGCCTTTGGTCTGCGGGGCGATCTCGTGCAGAACGTTACCGAAAGCGACGCCCGCATGGCCAGCGCTCGTTGCAGGTGCAGCTTCGCTTGGCGTGGGTGGGGGCTCAAGTGGGGCAAGTGCCAGGTCAGCTGAGCCGCCCTCGGCTGCGTGCGCTGGCGCAGGCATTCCTGCGTCGCCAAACTCTTCCTCGTCTACAGCATCCTGCAGGGCGGGCGGGACCGCAGCGGCCTGCGCTGCTGGAGGTGCGAAAAGTCCAGGTGCGCGTGCACGCGCGGCACCCCTGCGGCAGCCAAAAGGAAAAGCATCGGCGCCAGACATACCTGCTCCAGCAAGGCCTAAGTGCAAGGCCTGTTGAGCAGTCATGCCAAAAGACTGGGCAGCCTGCACAAAGGCGCCAATGTTGAAAGAGAACGGCTGGCCAGGCGCAGCAGCAGGGCATGGTTGCGACAAATTGCCCAACTGAAGCGCGGGAACAGGAGGTGTCGGCGCAAGCTGCATATGCGCCCTCACATGCTTGTTCGTCTTACGGCACGACACACTGGACCGATGGACTTTGAACGTCTGGAGGTCGATCGCGTGCGGTGGGTCGCCCTCGGTATACATGGCGTTGTAGACGGCTGGCGGCAGCTCCGATGGATCGTCGGGCCACTCCTTCAAGACCTGCAGATGGTCAGGCGCCGAATCTGATTGGAAGAACTTTGGGACGCACTGTACTGTCTCGTAGTAGTCCGTCAAGGATGCCTTCTCGAAGCCAGCCATTGTTGCAAGCATGCAGACGATATCAGCACAAGCTGGCGGGCTCGGTTTCACGAACCCCCCCTTGACGAGCCTTGCAGCAACTGTGGCTAGCTTGGCGCTGTTGTTGTAGGCAGTAGTCGCATCGCCCAGCGCGACCAAATCGGTCTTCGTGAAGTAGTTCAAAAGTGAGCCACTCGTCTTCCAAGACTGTTTCTCCTGCGCTCCCAGCCTGGTCTTGATCACGCTGCCCAGCAGCTTGTTGTTGATGCACTGGATGATGGAGGCCTTTTGGGTGTCTGAGAACATGGACGCCCTCGTAGCATCCAACAGCATGGTCGCCTGATCCGACATGACTGGATGGCTGATCTGACGAATCAGCGAGCACATCGAAGACGAGAGAGACTGCTTCAGCTCGTCCTCGCCGAAGCCAGCGTTCGCGGCAATGACCGATGTAGTACCTTTGAGTTCTGCGAGCACCTTCGCCACCGAAGCCATTCTCGGGTGTGTTGGAGCAGGTGGCGCGCTAAAGCAGGCAATGCACGAGCAAAAGGAATTCGCTTGAGCACAAATGGCTACAGACAGCAGCTGTGAAGCCCACGATGGAAACAGCTCTTGGGGAGGCAGCGAGATGGGGCACCTGAGAGGCGACCGAGCCTTGCTTGTGGCGAGGCACCTGAGAGGCGATTTCGACGAGTCCTTTCAATTTCGAAAAGGTTCGTCGACCTATTTCAACGAATCCTTTCAATTTGGAAAGGGTTCGTCGAACTGTTTCGACGGACCCTTTCAATTTCGAAAAGGTCCGTTGATTCCGTTCGCCGAATCCTTTCAATTTGGAAAAGGTTCGTCGAAATGGACATGGGGGGGCTTCGGGACAATTGCGAACGATCGAGCGAAAACTCAAGCGACCCGAAGCCCAAATGCGAGCGATCCGAAGCGCCTCTGAGTCCAGACCCCGAGCCCCCGCCCCCGAGGGCAGGGCATTGCATGTGTCTGGCTGGCGGGGGGGTGGCCCGCCCAGGTGGGGCGGGGGCCCCGCACATCCATCATGTTGCGTGTCATGTTGTGTCACTGCGTATGATATGCACATATATGTTTATGTTCTGCACTTTGTTATACGACAGCCTGCTCAAACACAAACTCACAACAATCTGGCAACAACCTCAAACAACGATATAATAACATGCTGCCGTCGACGTCGTCGACTGCCGTATCGCATGATATCTGCAGACGACCAAATGCTTCTGATAACGGGCTTTTCAAACTCAGCTGGTTGCGTCCCCCGTCGCGCCTGCCCCCTGACTAGCGCGCACACAAACCCACGTGTGAGAAAGTCGGAGGCCGAGCGCCCACTGCGCGAGCCTAAATGAAACGCATCGGCAGGGGCACGCTGGACGCAGACACGTGCATAGAACAGCTGGACTACCACGGTTGCAACTGCTCACTTCTTCCCATTGCTGCCCGACGTCCCATTGCCACTGCTGCCTGACGTCCGAGCGCGGACGCGCTTGAAAAGCAACGAGCCGTCTGGTTCGGTAAAGACCTCAGCGAAGCACCTCTTCGAAAGATCACGGCCAGAGCGCCCCTGGCCAGCCTCCTCGATGGGCTTGTCGATGGGTTTGGACTTCTCGGCGGGATCATCCGAAAACTCAAAGCTCTGCACCCTGTGGTAGATCCACACCAAGGCGTTCTCCTTCAGCTCGCAGAGAGCGGTTGACGCTGAAGGGGAGATGTTGAGGGGCATAGTCGTGTGCACCTCTTTCACCTTGACGCCGTCGCACTCGATGTGCGGCAGGACGACGTCCACGAACGGTGATTGGGAGCCTTCCTGCAACCTGCGCAGCGCCTTGCTTTCGAGCCGCTGCCTGTACTCGGACTTGTTCTCGGAACTCTTGTCCACATATCCAAGTGCCGCTTTGGAAGCAGAGACCTGCAAGCACCTCAGCTCCTCGACGACGCTGCTCACCCTCTTGTCGTAGGCGCGGTAGTTTGTCAACCATGCCGTGAGCTCCTTGTCGCCTTTCGTGAGCTCGACGAAATCCGTTCGGTCGATCGTGTGCATCTTGGCGCCAAGCCAAGGTTTGCCTTTCGCGGTGACAGCAGAGATCGAGACAGTCTTCGAAATCTCAAGAGGAAGAGCGGCATCCATGCTGAACTGACAATCGAAAGAGCCACCAATTTTGTGGTTGAACGCTGGCGCAGGAAAGCGCAGAGCCCAAATGGCTGGGGAAACGGCAACGCTGAGTGGTGGGCCTGTCAACTGTTCGCATTGCCAAGTTGTTGACTCCTGACCAGAATGCGTTCCATAGTCGTCTGGGTGGAGACGCCCAAGCCTACAGACCCTAGTCATGCATACACTAACCCTACATACCCTAAACCTACAGGCCCTACTAACCCTACAGATCCTAACCCTACTGACTCTAACCCTACATACCCTAATCTCACATACCCTAACCCTACAGACTCCAACCCAACATGCCCTGCTAACCCTACAGGCCCTAACCCTGCATTCCCAGCGATCATGTGCTCGTAGACACGTACTGCGCATACATCATGACACATACTGTGCTATTACATTTGCCGTAAAAGGCAGTAGGAGGAGGAGAGGGAGAAGGCATGATTATGATGATGATGAGGCGGAGGAGGAGGAGGAGGGGGGGAAGGGGAATTGGGGGAGTGGGGGGGGAGGAGGAGGGGGCGGAGAAGGAGAAGGACGAGGATGAGGAGGAGGAGGAAGAGGAGGAGAAGGAGGAGGAGGACAAGGAGGAGGAGGAGGACAAGGAGGAGGAGGAGGAGGAGGAGAAGGAGGAGGAGGACGAGGAAGAGGGCTCGATCATCTTCCACCGAGCGGAGCAGCGTTGCGCCAAACTGCCAGATGGGGAGCTCTCGAGCTGCATCTTGGAGCCTGTGGGCGGTCGCCACAGCTCGCATGCGGGACTTCAGCAATCCGGCATCGGAGGGTTGAAGGGAGCGTGGGAGGATGGTATGAGGTCCCCCCTGAAGCTCTGGAAGGAAGTAGGAATGAGCAAGGGTGGACAAGGAATGGTAGGGCGAGGGGCGGCTGCCAGGCCGCGGTGAC